TGACTAAAGCAGTAAGTAATTTTAACATCAGAGTAACTGACTAAAACAGTAAGTTAATTTAACATCAGAGTTACTAACTAAAACAGTAAGTTAATTTAACATCAGAGGTACTGACTAAAACAGTAAGTTAATTTAACATCAGCGTTACTGACTAAAACAGTAAGTTAATTTAACATCAGAGTTACTGACTAAAGCAGTAAGTAAATTTAACATCAGAGTAACTGACTAAAACAGTAAGTTAATTTAACATCAGAGTTACTGACTAAAACAGTAAGTTAATTTAACATCATAATGAATGAAGCACCTATTTGTAAATCGTGTTTGTACATTCTACTGCAACATTTGGCCAGGTTGTCCATTTAAAACTCATCAGTGACAGTAAAAGTCAATAATATTTAAAATCCATGTTTGAAGTATTCTGAATGGTATGCAGAATATAATGTGAAGGGCTTTAAGATGCATATGAAACCCGTTATAACGTTATAAACCAAGACGTCATCTCAACATCGGAACTACTGACTAAAACAGTGACACTTTCAGGATAGTTGTCCTTAATGCTTGTTTTGAAATGTAAAATATAAAATTCCTATTATCAATATTGTTTTAACGTAAGACAAGTATTGGTTATAAGTTTACTTTTAGTTGAATCAATATATGTATTTTGTAAAAACAGATACAGGTGTAATAGGGAACACATGTGGCGTAATCTTAAATTGATAATAATACCTAGTCTCAGCTAGTAGAATTAGACGAGTGCTCAATGTAAGCTAACGAAGCAAGTGTAATTAGGTGCGAGTTTTCCTTACCTTGAGTCAATAGATTCCCTTTTACTGGAATTGAATAATATACAACCTTCTGACTAGGTCTAACTGCTGTAGACTCTAGTTCTGGTGTTATCACGGATCCAAGTATTTGTTCCTTTATATATTATCCACTAGTATATAAATCTTGGAGCCGTGAGATAGCGAATCCTTATATCTCTTTCAATATCCTGGACAACGAACAAAACAAGTTGGTGGAGAGCGTTTGCATCCATCTGTCATCGCAATGCATCGTCATATTGACAATGGTGTGACTTCTGGGAGGAAACGTAGGGACCATAAAATTGCAATATCATACCAATCTATCAAAATAAAAAGTTACTGGCAGTACAAAACGTGCATTAGATTTCTTTTATCCTTTAAAAGAAGTATATGTGAGGTTATTATACACTTTACTTAGCGATATAATTACTTTATATAATTATAGAAATATGATTATAATTACTACAGTTACCAGATATCGTATATTCTTCATGAGACAGTACATCGTTATATTTCAGAGATATCGTATGTTCTTTATTAAATTACTTAATTGTGATATATCGTTTTTTCTTTATATGTATTGGTAAATACACTACTTCGATCCTTTACGCTCTCATGAACTTGAAATCAAGGACACTGCAGACTCTTCTGTATCAGCCGCTTTCCCCGATTTTTAATCCGCAAAATGACTTTCCGATCTCGAACTTTCCCTTTCTTGATATTAACATCTCTGTTTTCCCAACATGGAACAGTTGATTCGGTATTTAAGAGCATGCCCCGAATATCATGACTTCTTTGATAGATGTCTGCTGACGGACAAACTCACAACAAAGGGTTTCCAGAGATGCAGGTTGATAAAGACTATAATATGGTCACCTTTTACAGGCGTCATCATGATCGCATCAGAAATGTTATTCCTTTGTGTAATATGAAGGTCAGTATTATTTTAAGTGTGACTTGTTTCGTTGTCACTGCACAGGTTCTACCTTTAAAGACGTGACATTACTTGGATTTGACCTAGATTTACCTGGTGGGTGTCGTTGATTAAGCAGAAGACACTTACCCTTCCGGAACATTTGCTTGTTACACACATGTACACCCGAACATTTCTTTAACCCTTTCTTGATTAACGATATATTTGTTTTGAAAGTTTCGATGTAAAATGTAATATTTTTCTGAAAACAACAAAGGTAAGGTTGATATTTTTTTTCATTCATGAAAGAAACTAAATAAATCGGTCAGAACTGACTCTTATTTTCAGTACAAATAACAGGATAATCTGATTTGTTATTAACACATTTGCAATTTTATTTCTGATTTATATAAAAACATGTTTATCGCATCGATAATTTGATATCAGTATTAAAAAAAATAATAACACGATAAAATGTGTTTGCCAAATCGGTGCATAATATAAAAAGATCACCTTGTGTGACCGGTACAGAGATGTAGTACCAGAGATTAACAGTCTGGTTCTTTAACGTTCCTCTTTGACCGGTACAGAGAAGTAGGACCAGAGATTAACAGTCTGGTTCTTTAACGTTCCTCTGTCATGTTAGAGACATCAAACATATTACTGTATAAGTGTGTTCTGTTACAGGTATAAGTTTTTTTACTTAATTTCGCGCTTAATACTTTACCGCAAACATACCGAAATGAGGCAACTTCGATATCCAGCGGTTACGCTCACTTTCGATCTCTGCATTCCTGGAATATGTCATAGTAAAATTTAAGGCACGCGGCTATAGCTAGCTATTTGATTGGATTCAGATACATAAGGCCCAAGGGCCTTAGCGGTCACCTGAGTTATATCACAGGTACTGGTAGCTTTATTTTATTGTTTAGATGTGATGTTGAAATCAGCATATAAACTAAGTGAAATACAATACTTGTCATGTCATCAAAGGATAAGAATTTTAAAATATTTGTAAATGTTCCCTTTGGGGCCCCGCTCTAACCCCTGGGGATGGGGCAGGAATTCCAAGTTTACAATGTGATACGATGTAACGTCATCCATCAAAGATGATTCTGACCAAGTAAAAATAATTTCCAACAGAAAATTGTCAAAATATACCCAAAAAGTGTTGTTTCCCTATATAAACTATAGTAAACTTTACCCCCTCCCCAAGGGAAAACGGATAGCTCGGGGGTCCTGAAATTTACAATTTAAATAAAGCCCCTGACGATCTTTCCATCCATGCAGAGAAAATGACTGTAATACCTCCGAGTCTGGAGAGGAAGATTTTTGAAATATTGGTTAATTTTCCCTTTTGGGCCCCGCCCTGGCCCCTAGGGTTTGGGGAGGAATCCCAATTTTACAATTTGGTAGCCTCATCTACCAAGGATGATTCTGACCAAGTTTGAAAAAATTCCATCCACTGGTTCTTGAGAAGAAGTTGATAATGTAAAAAGTTTACGCCGCACGACGCACGACGGACGACGGACGACGACGGACGGAAAGTGATTGGAATAGGTGACTTGAGCAAAGCTCAGGTGACCTAAAAAGAAATCTAACCAATCACTAGGCTGATACCTGTCCTTTGAAGATTACAGAGGAACGACGTCCGACGTCAAAACCAGTAAGTTTTACCGTTTCGCGACCGCGAGATTCTTTTGATGTACATCAAAGGATCAACCTAGTCTTCTTAATTGTCTTATCCACAATGTCACACATTGAGCCTTCAGTTTTGCTTTGACATATTTCAGGGGTGCAGAGAGCGAAAAGTGAGTGTAACCCCTGGATATGGAGGGTGCAATATGTAGTAACTCACTAAACGTTAATTATATCACGGAATTAGATTAGATCTGTCTAAGTCCGTGATTATATACATTGTAGAATATGTGTGATGGCTTTTTGTGATCAATCAGCTTTCTTACCTACCGTTTACTTCAGTAATGAATTCACATGTGATAGTTTCGTTCCCTACTATATACCTTCTGTATGGGTTCGGCCAATTATCATATGAGGTGACTAATGTGGAGTTAGCTGCAGAATGGGGGAAGGGTTTATTCTGCATCTGCTTGGGGGACATTGCAGAATTGAAAATTGACCTACTGCTGTCCCCGTTGGCCTTTTAATTAGGAGGTGTCTCACTAGGTATCCGTTTTAATTTAAAATATGCTGTCGCGGCGAAGACTTAAAAACCTGAACAAATTTCTACCATATCAACAACATATCAGTGACGACTTTTACAGGGTGACACGTCAGTATTTTATCAAATCAAGTGTTGTATACTGCGATTTTCATTTCCCATTTTTTCCACATGTAATCAGTGACCAAAGGGTGTTTTTCCACACGGTAATAGGGGTAATGAATATCTGCACAGGAAAAAAAGGCACTTTACAGCACGGGGAATGATGCTCAGAGGGGCAATTGTCATGTGGTAAGTCACCATTCCTTATCTTACATGACTCAGGTTATATATACCATGATTATGTGTTCCATTTATCTTTGCTTTCAGTTTATTCCAAAGACTTTGTCATTCAGTCCCAGGTAGCCCGTCTCAACATGTTAAACCATAAAAATTATAACTTCTTTTTTTCTTCTTTATACACTTTTGACCCACTGTTTATATTGCGCACATTGCCAGACTTTCCCACGCCGAGTACAATGCTAAAACAACTCGATGTTGACAATTCTGGAAGTATTTTCATGATAGAGGCCCTAAATCAAAGTCCAAGAGGGTTATAAATCGAGAAGTATGCTGGCAGGACAAATTGTGTCGGTCCAAACCGGGATGGCATAATTGTAGGAATATTGTCAATCTCGAGGAAGCCCCAAGTAAAAGTCCACAACTTGATTAACCTTTTTTCTTTTTTTTTTCAATCAAAACAAAGAGCAGTCCAAAAGATACTTTGAACAGGCATTCACTCAAAAAGATCTTTCGTGGCCTGATCAGAGGAGGTATATGGGTTCTTTGGTGAGGTAGGGTATGAGACATGTCTTGTGCCTCATTCTTTTAAACCATTTAATGTTCGAAGACAAACATATACAATGTATAAAGAGTTTATCGACAATATCCAGCAACAAGTACAAGGTATTTAATTATTGTGTGTAGGGGTTGTTTGGTAATGGGGTAAAACAACTTGGGGTACTAGCAATAATGGAATACGGTTTCTGTGGCGTGAAGGGAGGCGAGGTGGGTAGGGGTCTGAGGTGGGCTCTTGGTGGTGAAAAGAAAACGTCTGGAACACATGTTGGTTATATTTTCCTTCTCTTTTATTTCCAGCTCATTTATGATAAATGTAGAATATAACATTATATCAGTTTTAATCTCAACCTTTTTATTGACAAAGTAAAGTCAAAATGATCCAAATTAGGCCATATTCAATACAGAATCGAGTACAAATATGAAATGAACATGTAGTTCATAAACCTTAGGATCAACAATACATTATATTTATATGCATATATACTTAGTATATAATGACATGCATATTATACTATATTACTCTAGGGTCAGCAGCTTATGTTGATAATTTTGAATTATTTCTACTTCTCAATCTAAAAAAAGTAATAAAATATAAAAAGATATTTTTTTTAGAAAGAAAACTTAATAATTTTGCATCAATAAACAATATGAAGAATATAACATAATGAATATGCCTGCTTTATCACTGATTGTACATGTATGTAAATACAAGACTTATTTATAAGAACAGTATCATATTTAATACATATACTATGTCTTAAGCTTAAGCCGTGTATAACATTTGTATTTTGTGTATTAAAGAATGTTGATTCACCAGGAGGGGCTTGAAGTTGTGTCACGAGCGTGTGTTTCTAATTATATATAAGTTGTGTCACGACCGTGTGTTTCTAATTATATATAAGTTGTGTAACAAATGTTATCTATTATCTTGGAATAAACACAATTAAATACTCACACACATTTTGTATATTATCTTTGTATAAATACAATTAAGTTAAAACTAATAGCAATCCTATCACAAATTAAACATGACAAAGAACAAAAAAAAGAAATAATATGTCTTTTCTGCAACTTTAACTTCAGGCAGAACAACCTTTGTAGCAAATTGGCAACAGTACTGACTTTATCTAGATCACAGCTGAAACCTTACAACAGTGTACAGGAAATCGTGACATTACAGACATCTAGGAAATTGTTGTATATAATAATGTGAACAGGGTGTGACTCAAATTTGTTCACCATATTTTCCAACTGAAGTTTAGAACACTTTATAACCCTATTACAAGGGAGCATATGGTTTCTGGTGGCAATTCTCCATTAATTTCATGCTTCCCTTTCATAATCTCCTAGCTTTGTTGATGGAAAGAGGTGTGCCAGAAAGTCAGGAGTAAGGATAGAAACACTCCTATTTCCTGATAATAAAACTTAGACTGATATAACAGATTTCCCCTGATGACTGACTTCTCTGCATGTGTTGCCTTAGTTTCTTATCTGACACTAAGCACTAGAACGAAGGGTCACTTTGTCAAATCAACTGAACCAGTCCCGTGTTCTGTCCAAACAATTGAACTAGTCCTGTGTTCTGTCCAAACAATTGAACCAGTCCCGTGTTCTGTCCAAACAATTGAACCAGTCCAGTGTTCTGTCCAATCTTGTAAACCAGTCTAGTTTCCTGTCTAATCCTATGAACCAGTCCAGTCACAGGTACTAGCCTCATCTGTCAATACACCTATATAAAGGTGTATTGACAGACGAGACTAGTACCTGTGGTCCAGTATTCTGTCCTGTCCAGTCCGAAGAACCAGACCAGTGATCTGTCTGATCCTATGAACCAGTCAAATGTTTTGTCCAATCTTGTGAACTAGTTCAGTGTTCTGTCCCATCTTGTGAACCAGTCCAGTGTCCTGTCTAAACCTGTGAACCAGTTCAGTGTTCTGTCTAAACCTGTGAACCAGTTCAGTGTTCTGTCTAAACCTGTGAACCAGTTCAGTGTTCTGTCCAATTTAGTGAATCAGTCCAGTGTCCTATCTTATCCTGTGAATCAGTCCAGTGTCCTTTCTTATCCTGTGAACCAGTTCAGTATCCTATCTTATCATGTGAACCAGTCCAGTGTCCTATCTTATCCTGTGAACCAGTTCAGTGTTCTGTCCAATCCTGTAAACCTGGTCATTGTCCTGTCCAGCCCTTTGAACAAATCCAATGTCATGTCCTGTCAAAATCTATGAACCAGTCCAGTGTTCTGACCAATCTTGTGAACAAGTCAATTCAAGTGTCCTGTCAAATCCTGTCAACCAGTCCATTGTTCTGTCTAATCCTATGAACCAGTCTAGTATCCTGTCTGATCCTAAGAACCAGTCCAGTGTCTGTCCTATCTTGTGAACAAGTCCAGAGTTTAATTACGAAGGAAGTTTAAGGGAAAATACTTATGTTAAAAAAGGAATTCGAGTAAAAATCAAGACGCTCCCCAAAAATTGTTACGTTAATAGATATGTCGTGAAAAAAACATGGAGAAAAAATAGGGATTCCAGATATCTTGGTTAAACACATGGTATCTGGATAAAAACTGAGATAATTCAAGACATTTGTGATAAAACACCGGGTAGCTCAGATATCTAAGTTAAAACACATGGCATTCCCGAGAAACAAGTAAAACGCAGGTAATTCATGATATTTGTGATAAAACATCGGGTAGCTCAGATATCTAAGTCAAAACACATGGTATTCAAGATAAGCAAGTAAAAAGATATCTAGTTCAAAAACAGGGTAGTTCAGATATCCAAGATAAAAATTATAGTAGTCAAAATGTCTGAGTTTAAAATAGAGTACTTAAAATTCATATGTATAGCTAACATATTTTATTTTTAAAAATGTCAACTTTTTTTACTGATTTAAATAAATCCTTTCAAATCATTTTTTGATTTCTTCCATGCTTTGATTTTGATAATGTGCTCTGTAAAATGTAAACATTTCCAACTTTTGGCAAAAGCAGAGATACCAAACAAGATACTGATAAACTATGGTTGACCAACTAAATTTCAAGAATTAAAAATTGATTAGAAAATATTCAAAATTCAAAATTTCAATGATATATTATAAGAAGGCTTTTCTCTTTGGTTGCCTTTGTATAATTAACACTGAAACCAGATGATGACTTAATTTAAACATTTCCAATCAAAGACTTTTACGTCTATGTACAGAAAAAGATATCACAGTCAGTGATATGCTAGCACTAAAAGGATGTAAATAAATAATAACAATAATTCGAGGTTCTTATATACCACTTTATCACAACCTAGTTCGTAGGTCATGTCAAAGCGGTTCACAAATTATTATCCGTGGTTATAGGGTCTTTGCAACAAGCCAATATCTTTCTTAACTCCCTGGGGAGCATACAGCAGGTGCTGCCATTTCGGCGCTCACAGCTAGCATTCTACAATTCTAGCACTGCCCAACCACATAATCATCTACAGCTAAGTAGACTGGAACAAGCAGAGTAAAGTATCTTGCTCAAAGATACAGCAAAGTGCCGTGACGTGACTCCAACCTGCAACCCTTCGGTCACGAGCCCTGTGTCCTACCACTAGATCACTGTGCGCTGCATCACTTTTTAAATGGGACTATTGAAACATTTACACATGCATACGTACAAATATAGTATTTATAACAATGCATAATTTATTATAGTTGTAGAATACTGTATACTCCGAAATTTTCGCTGCATTTCAACTTTCACGCCCTCCATAATAAGGGCAAATTTATCATGACTGCGAATTTTAGTTCACAACAAAACTAAAATTTACATCTGAAGGGTGAAATTAACACTAGGCGACCATGGATTTTATAGGGAAAGGGCGAAAGTTTCCAGGTAAGCAGTATCATTTCTAACACCTTGGGTACAAAAACAGAGTACTGTGGGGGGGAACAATATACGGCCGTCGAATGCCATATAGTGTTATATACTTTCTTACATTGAAATAAGATCTGCATCATTCTAAGAGTGGTTAGCTGACATGCAATAAAAAAATGTAGGAGAAAATCTACGGACAAAAAATAAAATACTGAAATGAACAAAGGGCAATAATTTTTGCAAAAATCGTCGAATCAAAATTCTTTTAAGGGGGACACAACTTAATATCATGATTATAATGTACACCATATTTCAAAGAGATCCGTTGAAAAACGAAGGAGGAGATTGCCAGACAAATATCAAATAATGAAATGAACAAAGGGCAATAACTTTTGCAAAAATCGTAGAATCAAAATTCTTTTCAAGGAAACACAACAACATATCATGATTATTTAACCTACTAAGTTTCAAAGAAATCCGTCAAAAAATGTAGGAGTAGATCTCCGGACAAAAAATCAAATACTGAAATGAACAAAGGGCAATAACTTTTGGAAAAATTGTCGAATCAAAATTCTTTTAAGAGTGACACAACTTCATACCAAGTTTCAAAGAGAGCGGTCGAAAAATGAAGGAGGAGATTACTTGACAAACAAAAGTTTACGCCGGCCGGCCGGCCGGACAACCCCATACCATAATACTTCCGTCAAATGACGGGCGTATAAAAACTATGCTAATGTACTATAGAAACATTAGCAATGTATTTATCAACTTTTGTTCTCTATAAAAAGATAAAACCACATTACAATCAAGAAAATATATGGAGAGAAGTTTTCTGATAATTTGCTATAAAAAAATCAAATTGCATGTTGCTTTGGAATTGTGATTTCACATTCACCTTGAAATCTTCATTAAGTGATGATATCAATTTCATCATTATCGATGCAGGTTCCGGGAAAGAACAGACCTGCTTTACCCCACTGCCGGAAAGTATGAGGTGATTATTGACGGTCCCTGTAGAATCTGTGTTTTTATATCTGAGTTGTCTCGCTAGAGAACATCAGCAAGACAAAGATTGACTGATGCCCTCAACTCAACACATGGGATATCTTTTCTCTCCTACCCACTTTTCCACTTCAGCAGTGACGTTTCAGTGAAATTGCACTTTAAAGTAGCCCTTAATAGACAACTCAACTCAACAAACACTTCTTTATCATACTAGTAATCCTGTGTAGTTTGCTAGTAAATAGCACCTATCTCATAAAGATGACATATTTACTTGGGTTTCAACTGGTGAGAATTTCAACTGGCATGGTGAGCCCATGAAGAAGGGGTAAGAAAAGACTAGTGGCCTTATCTTTCAATTGCATGGTTGACATTGAAAGTTTGTATCACAGGAATACAGTTTGTAGAAGTAATTAACTCATTCACCCCTGAAGACACATTTGAACTCTTCCAATTCAAATGTTGGTATAGTTCATCATGAAATTTCAGGGGTGAATGAGTTAACTACACATCACAACTATTTTATAGAAATAGGTTCAATTTTCCATATCTTTATACTTTCAATAATATATTCGTGAACGTGTACTTTTGTCTATTTAATCTGTCAGTGTCATATCAATAAATACTAAGTAGATAAGATATATATTTGTGACGTCCAATATCATAAATAGAGGATCTTACATGAGTGGCCATGTCATATTGAATTTATTAAACGAGTTCAATAATTTGATATGACACGAGCCTTTACCTACTCAACACATATATACATGTACATATATGTGTTAACTGCATTATCTTTGCGATACATATAAAGTACATGTAAGTCTAATGTAAATCTAAATGTAATGGAACTCTTTTAAGTTTAATAGTTAAACTCTTTACGGGTCATAAGATGACATGTTGTATATTGTGTGTAATGAGCGTAGTCTGTATAAAATGTAATTATTATCAGTATATATTTACATTTGCTCTGCACTGCCACTATATAACACTTCCAAGGCCAGTTCCGTGTTATGAGACCATAACACAGGCGTAGTGGTATATCCACGGGTTCGGCTAACTACAAGCTTAAGGTCACTATTCCCCTCCACACTAGCTAGCAAGCAGATAAGCAAAAAAATCATTATGATTTAATATTATTCACCGTTTTATGCAAGACTATTATAAAATGTGAATTGAAAATATTGATTGATTAAATTATGGAAATAGTATCGACATTTTTGTGAACGAACTATAATTGAGATAGAACAGAAAATTGAGATGAAAATTAAAAAAACTTAAAAATGTAAATATAGGCTAAAAACAGCATTCTGTTCCGTGTTATTGTCCTATAACACGGCACAGGATTGCAGACAAATAATCATAACGCGTGTGATTCATTTTGTCTGCAATTAATCCTTTTCTGTGATTTAGGACCTTGACACAGAACAAAATGCTGTTAAATGCTTTAATAATTGCAGAGTGTTTCATTTCCTATGTTCTTTGGGCGACGGGGCACAATAAATCAGAAGAACTCTCGTTAGTGTTTTGTTGGTGTGTCAATTCCACAAAAATCAACCACTGTTACACAAATATCACATGTTACACTGTACACATAACTCTATATTCGTTAGTGTTTTGTTGGTGTGTCAATTCCACAAAAATCAACCACTGTTACACAGATATCACATGTTACACTGTACACCTATCTCTATATTCATTATTGCGTTTCATAAAATATTGAAAAATTATAAAACTTTCTTAAAAACTTATTAAATTAATATCTATATGTTAATTATATACAGTCGAACCTCGTTATCTCGAAGTCGACTGGAAGTTGGGAAACTTCGAGTTATCTGAGTATTCGAGTTAAGCGAGTTCCTATGATTGGCAAAGTAAAGTAAAGCTTGGTAAAGTGTTTGGTCCAATATGAGGCTATACATGTCATTGATTTCTCTGACAATCGACGTATTTAAACAGTCGATAAATGTATCTATATATATTACAAGTGTACACATGTAATAAATAGATGTGTATCATAGAAACTTGTCTATACCATCAATTCAATCATTCTCGCATATGTACTGTACTTTCATAACAATCTAATCACCGGTTATTAGTTTTCTATTGTACAGGGGTTAATAATATATAAATATCTGACATTCCATAACTACTAGCAACAACAAAATCAACAAATAAACCCTCTTATGGCAAAACATCTCATTAACATTATTTATGCACTTTTTAGTGTCAATCACAGCACTCATAAAGTATAAACATGCAACTTCAACATATTTGTAAACAGTACAAGTTAGTATCACCAGCGTCCACATAGTCGGACAGTATTGACTAGTAAATCTGCATTTTTTTTTATCCAAAATATTTTCAATTGAAAAAATAAGCTTTATAAAATATCCTAATGTATTAATATATAGGCTGACAAATATTTAAACCTGTTTTGCTGCACAAAATATTCACTGGATTTAACAGTGTTGGAGTGCATAATTCCTTGAAAACTTTTTAGTGGCGTCATTTTGTTGATGTTTTAAAAAGATTAATGACACATAAAAATTGTTCACATAAAAGAAAACATTTTGAAAGCCTGGTGAGCGCTTATTCATGCATTCCTACAATATATACAATGCCAGCTCTGTACTATTCCAATGCAGTCATTGTGATCTCTTTCATACTTTCTGATAAATTCCTGCTAGAAATCCTGCCGTAGTTCTTGGTATTTTTCATCCATCAGCCGCAAAAACCTCTTTTTTCCCCGATGAAGTCGTCTGATATTGTCGGTCACATCACTTTTGAACACAGCACTTCCCTTGTCAACATATTGTATGCAGTGATTCCGCGCCTCCTTCATTTCCTGTAGCACGTATTCATATGAAGATCTGCCACAAGTCCGCAGGCGTGTCTGGAAACGCCTCCGATAGCTTCCGATCAGGTGCTCTCCAAGAACTTGTTTTGCACGTTTTAACAGGGGCTCTGACTTTTTCATTTCATTGAAGAAAGAAACAAGCAACTGGGAGTCATTTCTGATAGTGGTTGCTATGTCATCCATGACTGTAGAAAATTGTGAGCCTGTTACTATATCGTTACCATAGTTACCACATTTGTCACAATCTGCAATTTTTTCAAAAAACCACAGAAGATGGACTCGTAGGTCTACTGAGAATGGTGTCTCTAAATCTTCGCCAGAGTTTTCATTTAACTCTCGGAGCCTTTTAAAAGCCTGTTGTATCAGAAGGAAGACATTTTCAGAAAATATATCCCCAAAAGGTAAAGTGAAAGATTCCATTTCGTCATGTTCGATTTTGGCAAGAAGTAAGAGAGCTGTAGGGGTGTAGTTTTTGTTGTTGAAGATGACCTTTTGAAGTGCCTCATGTCTTAGTACCCCAACATGGAAAAATTTCAGGAATTCACTGCACTCCTCATCATGTTTGAAGGGAGCCTCAAAATACCTCAGTAACATGTCAGATGTCTCCCTTGGCAAATTGCCAACGCTCTTCATATAGTCTGCCATAACCTTCAAACAAAGCAAAAAATATGAAAATCATATTTCTGGTAACCCGGCAGCATGCATCAGGTATGCAATATGTACTGATATAAAATATATTGAGTTAGAAACTGATCTTTTCCAATACTTTCTTTTCTTGTACTTCTATTCTCGATCTTTGTTTTATACTTAGTGTGGTCAGGTGGCGCATAGCGCATTCCCCTTCCAAAACGATGACCTGGGTTCAATTCCCCAATCAGAAAAGGATTGGGGTCACCTGCCAGACCACATGGGTTCTCTCTGAGAACTCTGGTTTCCTCCTACATTAAGACCCCTTATACACCAACAAGTGTGATTAAGATAAGTTGATATAACTTGTCTCATAATTGTTGTAAAATGTTTGAAGTATATATTTATACTTTGTAATGCCTCCTTTGGCACCCCTTACTTTCAGCTGTACTGCAAACTGTACGCCCATGTTAGGAAGGCAGTGGCTTCTGTCCCCAGGCCAGATATGTGGGACAGAACATATTAAAGTTCTGTCCCCACACTGGTTTATCAGTTGTTCATTATAATATGACTAGGTTGAGTACTTTACTGGGTGCCTTCAGCATGTTATTTCAGTGAAGTTGCACTCAAATGTGGCATCAGATCTGCACTACTGCAAGGAGGCAAATACATTAACATACCACCTGAGGCAGGCACACAACCATTCTACATGGAGGCATGTCCATACTCCAACCGAATCCAACAAAACATTGTGTATGACCTCAGTGTGCTATACTGACTGTGATACTTACTTAGTGTATTGTACTCTATGACCTTGGTGTGCTATAATGACCTTTGTGTGCTATAATGACTTGTATGACATTGGTGTGCTATAATGACCTTGGTGTGATATAATGTCCTGTATGACCTTGGTGTGCGTTAATGAAATTGCTGTGCTATAATGATATTGATGTGCTATAATGACTTGTATGACATTGGTGTGCTATAATGACCTTGGTGTGCTATAATGACTTGTATGACATTGGTGTGCTATAATGACCTTGGTGTGCTATAATGACCTGTATGATCTTGGTATACCATAACAACCTGTATGACCACAGTATACTTTAATGACCTGAATGACAATGGTATATTATAATGACCTGTATGAGCTTGATGACCTGTATGACCTTGGTATGTGATAATGACATGTATGACTTGAATGATCTTTAATTACCTTTATGATCTTAGTAAGCTGTTCCGTGCTGAAGAAGAGACATAATTCCTGCCAGTTGGGAAGAATCAAGCCAAGAAACTGAAACTGAATTTGCAGTCCTACCTCTACAACTGAGGTAGAAAGCATGACCTTTGACCCTGTGAAAACAGAGTTGTTGCAAAGCTTGATTAATCTCAGTAGAAATTTCATACAAGAGATTCTCTGCTCAAGTAAGGTAAACTCCTTCTGGTAGTCCTTCAGTACATGGTAGACTAAAACGGCATAGTCAAGGTCATCTATACTTTCTGTGTAGGTCAGGAACTGAAACAAAACAATCCCTGTAGTTCTGATAATTCAATGTTGGAATTTTAAAATTGTGAAACAACAAACATTCCCAATATACATATGACACAAGAAACATTAACCCTTTCAACACTGTAGACCAAAATGGACTCCTCCAGATCAATGCATGGTAGAGTCTACTTAAGTTACATAGGGGTGAAAGGGTTAAAGTCGATTTATAAAATACCAACCCATAGTATGTACAACTTTTAGACTTGAAAATAGTTTTGGATAATTATATATATAACTCATCATATTTCACATTGCATTACAGTTAATTCATGATTTTTGTTGTTATCTTGCCAACTATGGGTTGTGAACATGTACAGAGTACAGTAAATCCATTTAACTACAGATGTCAGCCACACCAAGTAGTTCACGATGTGTTAGCATGGAGCCTACCTTTGATATGACTGTGTCGTTGTTAACATTGTTGTCAGAAAAGCCGGAGAAAATTCTCTTGATGACCATCGTCCACCTGCTCTTCACATTCTCAGTATTACTGTTGTCTGCAAAATGTATAGACGAAAGGGTTACAACTTGCTTCACTCTGTGATAGCTCAATGAAGGGGTTTAAAAACAGTTTTACAAACAGATTCTGGAGGAGATAGTTATAGTTTAATAATACACTTAATTACGCTGTGGGGTTTTACAGTTCCTGAGTAGAAAAGGAAAATTCTTCACATTTAGGGTACTTAAAGAGTTTTCTGGTACATATTTTATCTTGCGGTTACAGGTATATAACAGGACACACTTACCAAAAGGGGTTTCTGGCATAATCTTGAGATGACAGGTATTCATAAGGATGAACTTACCAAAATGGTTTTCTGGTAAAATCCTGAGTTGACAGATATCTTACAGAACAGAACACACTTACCAAAAGGGTTTTCTGGTTTAATCTAGACATGTCATGTATTTAACAGAATACACTAACCAAAAGGGTTTTCCGGTATGTTCAGGTTCCTGATGGAACAGGTATGAAATGATTCACACTTACCATAACGGCAATTTGGTATAGTCAGGTTCTTCAGTGGACAGATGCTGAGAGAGGCACCCTCTAATGATAACATCTGAGCAGCCTTGTCACTTATCAGTGAGTCTTTCAAAAAGAGGCTGAGCAAACCCACAGCATAATTGTCACCATAGAAGCTGGCCTGATGTTCCTGGAGAGCTGAGGTATACTTTTGAATGGCCTGTTCCTGTAATGTATGTATGGCACTGTTTTTGTCAGCAAGCTTCAAATACGACTCTTGAATCTTCTTGTCAAGGAAAACAAGCCAACTGTAATCTTGGGCTGAAATAATGTCCTGTGGGGCCATTGCTCTGAATCTGCCGAGCTCCATGGCACGAAATGTAGCATCCAAGATGACCGGAATTCCTTCTAGCCCAAGACTGACCAGGTCTTCTATTTGGTACAATGTGTAGCAGACAAACAGTAAACCATAGGAAATCTGGGCCTACAAAATAATAAACAACTTTGTGGAAATTAGTGTTATCACTGTCATGTGCTGAAACATGTGCTAATGGAAGAATTGGTGATAACAAATCGTAACTGTCAAAATGCAAGATGGCAGTCTGTCGGCCATTTTGGTTATCAGAACAGTTTATAAAGGGGAAATACATTTTAAATTTGAGAAAGATCCCTCCAATACTTTCTGGTAACAGCGATAACAAGAAAGGTTTAAGGACAGACAGACAGATTGGCCACATACAACTGATGAAGGGCAATTCAAATAGCCACTCTTCTTACGATGGCTACCAACTCTGATGAAGGTTCATTAAAAAAATGTTGAGAAAGACTGACTGCAAAACCAATGATGGACAGTTAACCTTGTTAGACATACACAAAATCAGCTGATCTTAGAACCTACCTGGCTCAGCAGGCATCACAAACTTTTGAACTTTAATAATATTCTCCATTTTCAAAATCATATTATCTTTAATTGCTTTATGTCATCAAATGTTTATTCAATAGTAAAAATGTATCAACGTAACAGGTATGTACAGGAATCACCTCTTGACTTGAAATAGAGGGTGAATTGCAGAAAATCTAACTTAGAACATTTGAGAATTAGGAAGACTATGTAAATTAAGACATGCTCAGAGTTAAGAAGTTTTGTAATACCCAGGAACATATAGTCCAAAAAGTGGTTCTATTAGATATATAATGTCGTCACCTATATTCAGATTTTTTTCATCTTTGAACTTTATTTGAACTGGTTTACATTAACCTGTACCAGGAACATTTTACAGGTTTTAACATTTGCCTTTTTTTGCCCTTCATTATTTTCAGTACTGTACCAGGAATTTTTGCAGACTTCAATGTTTTCCCTTCATAATTAAGTAGAATATTTTCAGTACTGTAGAAGGAATTTTATGCAGGCTTCAACATTTGTCTTTTTTGGCCTTTCATAATCAAGTACATCACATTCATATTAGTAAATTAAACAGCATCAATAAATTTAACAAATCAATACTGGGCAAATATGCATTTTACTGGTGAATGGTGAATATTTCACAGTGCGAAAGTTTCCTGCTATACAGCATAATAACCTTACATCTGCTTGTAATCTACAAGTACCTGACTTTCAACACAATTTGATTTTTAAAATAGAATCTGACCTTTGACATGCCCTCCATATCAACCTCAGTAGTTTCCAGACGAGGTACAGAGCACGGTTTCTTTCTTGGTCTTGTTTTCTGTTTGCGTATCCGTTTTGTTGAGGCTCTATTGGAAACAGTCTCATTTTCTGACTCATCGCTTTCTGAGGATGAGGCTGAAATCAACAGTACCGGGTAGTTAGTAAATCAGCATCAAATTTACATGAAAAATCATTCAGACTGGTATATTTTTGTTTGTATCAATAACCTGTTTTAAAATTTTAGTTCATCAAAGTTTGATTTTTCTGTTTTGTAAATAAATACTTAATTCTATCACCCCAATAGAATTATATTTGCATCAGAAAGATTTCTTGTCGTGTCAAAATAGTTTCAAAATTATTAGTTATCTCCCTTGGTATGCTGAAAACCCTTGCAGTGCAAAATAATTTTAGGGTTTTGTCTCCTTTGACATTTCTCCATGAATTAATTTGTCATAGAGACAAAAAGAGTACAGTTACACAATTCCTCTTAAAATCTGTATTTGAAATTCATCTGGAATGAAGATTTAAGTATCAAATAAAATATTTATGATGAAAATATTGAAACTGAATGTCTTTCATTGGTTATTTGATCCAAAACTTTTGTATAGACTGTAAATATTTCAAACCAATAAAATATAATGGCTATTTAAGAGGTTTTTAGATGACATTCAAGCATATGTGATTACAGTCAAGCAATGTTTCTCAATGTTTATACAGATTGCATTTCAACATAAGTTTATTCAACATGACCAGGAGTTATTCAAGAATGCCTGTCCAACTGCAGGCAAAACACTCGAGAATTCCAGTGTAGTTTTTCATGTATACAGCTAACTTCCCTTTAATTTCCTTTTGCATATAACTGTAATGAGACTTGGCCAGGAATCTTACGCTGATCAGGTAGCTCTGGTGGTTAGAGTGACCGCATTGTGTTATGAGGTCAAGGGTTTGAATCTCGGTCGGAAATTGCAGTTTTTAGTTCAAAGTAACAGGTTTGGGCATGGTATGACATTAACCTTAACTGTGCTGTATAATTATAATCTGTCACCTCATCTGACAAACCATCAATCATGCATGACTCCTGGTACATTTATCATCATGTACCAACTTAAACAACCCCTATTATTCCCCTCCTCCCCCTTACCGAAGAAGAAGAAAAATCTCCTAAAAACTGTTAAGAAGTAATTTGACCAATGAAAGAGTAAGAAGTTGAATGGTTAACATAGATACCTTCACTGGAACTCTCTAGGACCTTGTTACATCCAATGACAGAGTACTGAAACGAAAACACAATGTACAGAAAAAAATGCTATGTGCTTCAAAATCTAAATAACTAATAAAGATCATCGGTGCATGCATCATCTACTACGTTTTGATGTCAAGTTTTTAACACACATGCGGCAGTATACTACTAAACTAGAATCATCCTTGAACATAAGGCATCATAGGAAATACAAACCTATTTCACATAGCCATATTGTGCTTTTTATATAGAAGACTTGGTCTTGTTAAACATTTTAATCAAAATATCTGATCAAAAATCGACAATGATGAACCTGGGAACCCTTTACTTATAAGCAGGCCCTTCCTATATACTGCACAAGGGAAACAAGTGTCACATGTAAACTTACAGACTGTCGGAGTTTGAAATCATCAAACTGATCTTATCTTTATATGTGTATACTCTAACTATAGACTCTTTTGAAATCAAAATAAAGCTGTAAGCATGACAAAAAAAAAATCAACAATGTTTATCTTAACCTCTATCATACTGCTGATTTTGCACTATGTTAAGTACTAAACACACATATTTACCTTTCTGGACAAGTTCAGCAGCTTTCTCAAGATGACCACTCCTAAATTGTAGAGCTTTTTGTCCTGTTTCTTTGTCCCGAAGTGCATCAAGGCTTCAAACCTCAATAACATGACAGGTAGCTTTTCTTCATAAGATCTGAAATACAGAAAGATAGGGTTGTGTACCTAAACCCTTCCTCTAACTACAAATCTGCAAGGAGGCCAGGAGAAGTCGCATCTCCGGCAGTTATAAGATAATACTGTTACAAGGATAGACTCAAAGTAGTAGAGCCAACATTGTATGAGTTATAGGCGAGTCAATGAGTTGGGCACTTCGGCCTGAGTGTGGATACCAAAGGGTATGCTGGGTAATGGGTATTGGGTATATAAATATAAGGGGAGGGGTTCCAATCACAACACAGCTCAGGCATCACCAGTTGGTAACACCTGAGCTGTGTTGTGATGGGTATGCCTCCACTTATATTGGTAAGATTCGTAACTAGCCTCCCTTTATAGTGGTAAGGTTCGTAACTAGCCTTCCCTTATATTGGTAAGATTCGTAACTAGCCTTCCCTTATATTGGTAAGATTCGTAACTAGCCTCCCCTTATATTGGTAAGATTCGTAACTAGCCTCCTCTTATATTGGTAAGATTCGTAACTATTACAGTTACATCTGCTCAAAAGACCATCCCTATTATGCAATCCTCTGTCTTAGGGGACCACCATTTTTTTTATCCCCACAATGCAGGTTATTATAAATCAACACTTTATAAGAAATATAAGTGACCACCTCTGTTGAGAGACCACTTTGGTGCCTTCCCGAGTGGTCTCTTAATACAGACTGTGTAACATACTTACGTGGTAAGTGGTTTCTGTTTCCCACACAGCAGATCATCCAGTGAATCAGGAGCATCAGGTATCAGACTAGCACACAAGGCCTGGTAGAAAGGCTTCTGTCGTGAAGCTCCCAAAATTCCCTCAGAATCGTCGTCATGGTAACTCATGCAAGTAGCTGACATGTAGTTCTCCAGTGGGATCGAATCTAAATCCGACCACTCAGAAGCTGTTATAAACACCTCCGAATGGTCCATGTTTCTGGTGATACTACAACAAAATGAAGTTGTATCTGCACACTTATGACGTATTGAAGCAGACGTCCACAGGATATATATGGTGGTATGTATTATGTTGGGATTAGAACACTATATCACAACATTTATTAATGCTTATATATTTTCATGCATGTTTTATCACTATACAGTGTAAAATCAAATTTTGTTCATATCAATTTATATACATGACATATATATCAGCAGAAGAAATAATGATACACAACAGTACAGTGTGGACAGTAGAAATTACCATATTTTTAAGGCAATCCAACCCTTTGTCGAGGCGCAATAGCTAAATAATCATGCAACACAAATCACATGGTTGCTACTGAATTTCAACACCAACTTCTACGCATATCTCTTTGGCATTAGTGTGCACCTATTACCAAGGGTAAGACAATTTTACTTGTCTCACCTGTCAGTAAAAGTCCTTCCTACACATGACAGAAAATGGTCTAATGTCATTGGGAAGAAAGTTTTATCTGATACAATAAATGAATAATATATTGGCTTTACTAACCCATTGATATCAATGGCAGCTTGGACTAGGTCTTCCCTGATCTGCCCTTTGAAAGTGGCGATGAAACAGGTGAAGAGTCGCTCTAAGTCATGAAACAGCCGATTCACACACATTGAATGTCTCTGTGTGTTGATTTCTGTGAAAATAAATATAGTTTTCTTTGATTATAATTGTTTAAGAAGATATAGGTATGTTGGAGTTATTTGGACCATAAAAAACTAAGTATTGAAGATATATATGATAGAAACTACATCATAGACATTGATGATGAAGGTGAACAGAACAACTTAAAGTAACAATTTGAAAACAATTCAATTTAACAAGTTGGTAATTATGAATTCGGCTGTAGTATACATTGATGACATCAATGTTGCTCATTCAGAATTCTTGTAATAAATTCATGTGATCTTTAGGTTTTATAGACAATATTGATAAAATGATATCTTCCTTACATGATTAATCATGTGGGTGAGTGTAATTATCTAGTTTACTTTCATAGGTGATCCATCTGGTTGATGCTTTCAGTCCAGCTTGACATTCCCCCTTCCCCACCTGCAGATTTTTTTTTTTAATTTCAAGATTTTTTCCACCTTCACAAAAAAGTACCTGAGCAGTATCACGAGTGTGCATTATTCCAAATTGTGTCTTAAGAGTCTTAGATCAAGATAATGCTATGACTTTACCATTTAGTGTGCTGTTGGCCAAATTGATGAGAACTCTCCCTGCCGAGTCCACCTCATCACTCCCAATCAACTCCGCCACTTTCTGGATGTAACAGCGATAGATCTCTGATTTGGCTTTCTCGTCAAAGTTACATGTGTCAGGGTACCTGTTGCTGCTTAGTCTGAACAAGAAACAATTTCACTCACATTAGCTTGTCGAGGTTAAACATGTCCCATATATAGATAAATACATAATACATAATACATAACATTGTTGTAAATATTGTACATTTTATGTCGACCACATGTGAGACGAGTCATTGACTCAATGTGTTATCGAATTTAAATAAAGTCTATTATTATTATTATTATTATTATTATTATAATATACCCAACTCTCTGTACATCATACCCTTTATAAAGATAAATACATAATATACCTGACTCTCTGTACATCATACCCTTTATAAAGATAAATACATAATATACCTGACTCTCTGTACATCATACCCTTTATAAAGATAAATACATAATATACCTGACTCTCTGTACATCATACCCTTTATATAGATAAATACATAATATACCTGACTCTCTGTACATCATACCCTTTATATAGATAAATACATAATATACCTGACTCTCTGTACATCATACCCTTTATATAGATAAATACATAATATACCTGACTCTCTGTACATCATACCCTTTATATAGATAAATACATAATATACCTGACTCTCTGTACATCATACCCTTTATATAGATAAATACATAATATACCCGACTCTCTGTACATCATACCCTTTATATAGATAAATACATAATATACCCGACTCTCTGTACATCATACCCTTTATATAGATAAATACATAATATACCCGACTCTCTGTACATCATACCCTTTATATAGATAAATACATAATATACCCGACTCTCTGTACATCATACCCTTTATATAGATGAATACATAATATACCCGACTCTCTGTACATCATACCCTTTATATAGATAAATACATAATATACCGGACTCTCTGTACATCATACCCTTTATATAGATAAATACATAATATACCTGACTCTCTGTACATCATACCCTTTGTATAGATAAATACATAATATACCTGACTCTCTGTACATCATACCCTTTATATAGATAAATACATAATATACCCGACTCTCTGTACATCATACCCTTTATATAGATAAATACATAATATACCCGACTCTCTGTACATCATACCCTTTATATAGATAAATACATAATATACCCGACTCTCTGTACATCATACCCTTTATATAGATAAATACATAATATACCCGACTCTCTGTACATCATACCCTTTATATAGATAAATACATAATATACCCGACTCTCTGTACATCATACCCTTTATATAGATAAATACATAATATACCCGACTCGCTGTACACCATACCATTTATAAAGATAAATACATAATATACCCGACTCTCTGTACATCATACCCTTTATATAGATAAATACATAATATACCCGACTCTGTACATCATACCCTTTGTATAGATAAATACATAATATACCTGACTCTCTGTACATCATACCCTTTGTATAGATAAATACATAATATACCTGATTCTATGTACATCATACCCTTTATAAAGATAAATACATAATATACCTGACTCTTTGTACATCATCCCTGAAGTCCTGGTTGAGCTGTGCTAGGGACAAATCAATTATAGACTTCTGATCTGAACAGATGCCAAATGTCGGATCAGGTGCTCCTTGTGTTTTGTTGAGCTCTGATCTAGAGTCTCTGATCATATCTAAGAAATAATACATTGATATTAAACCATGTGAAAAGTTAGAACAGTTGTTAACATGCATGTGTAACTCTTAAACCAAATTTAAAATATCTTTAGATTTTTGGGGTAAGAGAGTCAATGTTGAAGGACATGAAGTAATAGTGGGCTTTACCTTTGGTTGATTGTTCTACCAGATTCATACTTGTACAAATAAATTTTACCCTTTTACCACTGCAGATCATAATGGACTCATCCAGACAAATGTAAAGAAGAGTTTACTAAAGTTACATAGGGGTGAAATGGTTAAAGAAGCCTGGTAGCTTTTACTGATTCACAAGGATATATATATATGTATATTAGCTTCACAGATTAGAACACATCATTTATACTTTACTTACAGTTCATATATCTACAATGTGTAAACCTTTCATAAGGTGGTCCGAGAAGAATATTTTCTGTTTCAAACTAATGGCATCAGGGAAAATGATCATGTTACTTCGTATTAGCATTTACAAATTTTGTAGGTAGAGGCCAAATTTTCTACTGGAGTTGGGAGAGATACCCTGGTCCTTAACAAATTCTAGTGCTGGATAACCAAGTTTTACTGTAATATAAGTAAATCAGATTATGGAATCAAATTGAAAATACTTTTTATTAATGTGATACAAGAACACATGAATTCTGTATTAATATTAAAAATTGAAGTAAATAAATGAAGATGGACGATAAGGAAGTGCGTGACCTTTTGACCTACCCATATGTTTAAAGATACGACAGGTCACCCCGCCTGGGTCCTCACTGATGGCATACTGTAGCAGCTTCTGTATCTGATTTCTGTTGAGGGTGCAGAGGACCTCTGTTACAGGGGCATGTACAGCAATCTGGAAACAACAAAACCAGGGGGCGCCATATAGATAAAACTGTTACAGGGGCATGGACAGTGATATGAAAACAACAACACCAGGGGGAGCTCATATAGCTATAACTGTTACAGGGGCATGGACAGTGATATGAAAACAACAACACCAGGGGGCGCTCATATAGCTATAACTGTTACAGGGGCATGGACAGTGATATGAAAACAACAACAGGGGGCGCACATATAGATACAAGCCATTTGGATTGATATGTACAGCACTCTGGAAATAATACCACAGGGCGCTCGTAAAAGTTGTTGCCAAAAATGATATGTTGTTTGGCTTATAGAAAACTTGTTTTTCCTTTTCCGTACTTTGTCAGCATTGCGTATCCTGTAGATTATCACAGCAACAATGTGACGACACCAGATGACCTGAGGACAGAGACTACAGGTCGCAGAGGTCACCCTGTACTTCTCAAACGACAGTGACACCTTGGCATCCTCCATCTTTGATTTGGTTGTAATGGTAGTGGAGTCACATGTTTCGGACGTCAAAAACACAGGCTTGGATAAAATGGCTGACATCATAAATCCTAGAAATTTGAGAAAAAAAACAGTTTCTTAATATGGTTATAGAAGTAAACAGCAAAATAAAACCTCGTACATTATTTTGATCTCTGTTGTACATGAAAGACTATATTTTCAGCATGATTGAAAATGATCAGTGTTGAATTTGCCATTTAAGAACAGATTGCTCAAAGGATGGTTAACATCAAGCGGTGGTTAAAGACAAAATTCAAGCTGTTGCAACCAAAACACAAGGGATTTTAAAGCAAAATAAATCCTCAAAACACACCAATAACATATGTATGAATGTAGTAGTTAAACGTAAAAATAGTTCCACAAATAAATTGGGCATGAATTTCTGCTTTACAGTAAACAATGTTATAAACAGTAACAGCTGCTACTGACTTGTCCACAGGAAATTTCCAGTGACCTCAACCCAATACTGTGTCAAAGGTTTGACAAATAGCTGAGAAATTACAAAATCTAATCACTTTACTACATAGTCAAGGGTAGTGGGGGACTACATTGCCATTCAACGGAGGTGATCACCGACTCACCAACTTGTGTAATTTCCATGACTCGGTTTTCTTCTATCAGTGTTTCTCCATCCCTCCAATCGTCCTCTTTGTAATGCGTTAATTTGGCATAGATCTTCACACGATTCTCACTCTGGGGAAATGCCCAAAAGGCAACCTGGACAGGAATTACAATGTGATGCTCACTATAAGCTTCATCATAAAAAGTACTCTAATGAAATTATTGTTATACATGTACATATGGCAATAATTAAATATATTATAGTTAAGATATGACATATTTTGGACCATCAATGCAATAAGGGTAACACAGTGTAAACGAATAAAATAGTCAAGAGAGACATGGAATCGTAAAAGTTGTGGAAAGATATTAAAACAGACAAGATTTTAGTCCAAACTCTAGTTGTAACTGGTGCAGCGGATGTATTTCACTTCTTTACTACCTCCCAAAACACACACACATGCATCTCGCACACAGGGGAGGACGTCCTTAAATGACCATAGCTGTTGATAGGACATTAAACATTACTAAACCAAATCAAAATGTCTCCTAATTAGATTTAGAGGATAGAGAATTGAAAATAAAATCCCTGTTTCTTCAGGTTGTTCCACATTAGCTGCCTAATACAATATGATTTTCATGTAGAGTAGTGCAGGTCTATGCTATTCTGAACCTGTGGAGGGTACTAGGGATGTCAATATTCATCGCAATCTTCCATAGTCCAGGGGTTATGCTCACTTACACTCTCTGCACTCCTGGTATTTGTCATCGCAAAGTTGAAGGCATGAAGATAGCTATTTGGTTGAATTGGTATCAGGTAAAAAAAACTGACCAATTGCAAGGCAGAAACCTGTCCTTTAACGTTTAGATTACAGAGGTTCAACAATTACCTGACTTCAAAGCCAGTCAGTTTTACCGTTATTCTGCCATGCTTCTCTTTTGGTGTATGTCAAAGGATCAGAATATACTATTTGTATCATTCACAAGATGGTGCACACTGAGCTTCCATTTTGTCATGACATATTCCAGGGGTGCAGAAAGAGTAAGTGAGCGTAACACCAGGAGTGGTGAGGATATTACAGTACAGAGGAAATTATTGTGATACATATTATCACAATATACTGTCGCAAGAAAGAGGTTAATTTCTGAAAATGGTGCCTCATTCCAGAGGATAGTGTTTTTGAAATATTCCAGTATTTTCAAAAACAGGTAAAATTAAAACATATTAAGAACATGCATGTACAAGTCATTATGGTACAGAAATAAAACTTTCTTATTACTTTTTCCTTTGACATTCAACAATAAAAATAAAAGACAAGTTTGATAAATACCTTTTTAATCATAGTTTCATCTAAGGGAGGGTCATGATTTTCCAGAAATTTACAAGGAAAATGTGCCCCCGTGACTCGAGCTGCTAAATCTGAAAGAGGTTGCACTGACGATTTCTTGATAAGAGTGGTGCTGTCAGGTGGGACGGGCGAGATGGAGTTAGACCGGTTGACATCCTGAGAAGACCTATCAGAGATATCATCACAGTCACTGCCATACAGACTGTCAAAGAAGTCTTCGGACTCTGATTCACGATCTGTAACATATTTTTAAAAAGTGTGAAATCGTAATTATTAAAACACATCAGGGATGGAAACTAACCATGTTAGCCACTTTGGAAAGATTACTCTCAAATATCTTCAACGAGATTCACCAGTTTGGATAACTGTGAAATCCAAGTTTTACTTTATACACAATGTACATACAAACGTACATTGTTTGCAATTAAATTGAGTGTCAGTAAAACTTTGATATACAAATGAAATTCTGAATACCTAGGTATTGATAATCAATCATGCATAAAAGGTCATAGCCTGATATCATTTTATTTTTAACATGATTTCTTACCAGTTTATAAACAGATTGAAGAAAATCTCATGTGCTAGTATAGGTCTGCTGATTGGTTTACATATTACTCAGGGACATTAAGTCATTTGCTGTATATGTGATTGTATAATGTACAGGTACATCAGATCTGTACCATCCTTTTCAGTATTGAACTGATTTCAGAACTTTTACATTTATATGAATGCCAAATGAAAGGTGACAAACCTGAAGTGTGCTTAGATCTAGAGTGCTTTATGTTGAATGTTGATTATGCTCCATTTGGCATTTATATTTACTATGAATGCCAACTAGCTGTTAAATACTTATATAAGATTTTCAAATATATTTTTATCTCATAAAAAAAAAAGCGGCAGCTCAAAGAAGTGTATTGAGTTTATGTTTGCGTAATGAATGATGCAGCCATCTTCAAGGGAGCAGGTCTGACATCTTATCTAACATTACAGCTATGACATCATAATAATATTGAAGTCACCACGATGGCAATGGCATTCACAGCTTTTATGAATGCAATTTGAATTTGGTAGGGTTATTATAGAGTGGCAATATATATATACCAGAGTGGTAATTAAATAACTGGTAGTGTTTTCCTCCAGCTGTTTTCTTTTCTAACCACATGTTGTTACCAGGACACTGAGCTAGAGTTTATATTAATGTATATCATATCAAAAGATTCAAAGAAGGCAAATAGAGTCTATAAGTTGATCATCAATAACATTTTCAAGTCTTGAATGTTTGAAAATAATTGTGATGGTCAACTCTTTATATTTGCAGTATTTATTATTTTTATGTCAGAAATATACATGTATCTTAATGATACAGAGTCTTCACATGACTGATCTATATACACATATAGCCAAATGGAACCCTTTACTGTTGGGTTACCAGGAAGTTTTTTGGGAAAAAATCCCCTGTAAGTTGGAAGGTTTGCCAATTAGCTATAAATTGTTCCACCAATCTGATCGTTTTCTTCATCATCTCCCTCTCTTTTTTCAATTTTATATTCTGTATATATATACATACATGTATGCATTTAAAATCTTAGGTAGGAGAATACATTGATTAATATTCATAATTTGATAAAGTGTAATACTGTACCTGTTGTTATATGTATTTGAGAAAGAATGATTCCATTTATATCTCATTAAACTGCATCAAATAAATAAACTTGATGATGTGGAGATCCCAAGTAAATTGTACAAAAGTCCCTTTAAATCACAAACAAATTAAGTTTCATTCCCCAAAGACATATAGCTATATAGTGAGTGCAGAGCAGTGATAAATCTATACACACGTGTCCCGAGTCCTTTTGACTCACAGAATTTTGATGGGATTAATAGAATTTCTGGAAATACTGAAATTTAACATTAGCGGACCCATTGTTTTAAACAATACAGTTGAAAAGGACCCATGAATATAAGTTGTAGATTGACCACTGAACTGTGAGTATACTATATATATATAGATATATATATAAAGTATACTCACTGTTCATGATCTGATTAGACAAATAAAAACAAGTGCGTCGTTTCATATTTAACTCACCATTCATATTCACGAGTCTTGTATACAATGGGCCGTATATACAATATCCTTTGGTGAATACATTATGTCATCTTGTGGATAACAAAAACGTAATATACTGTTTTATCAATAGCTAACTATCGATATCACTGACTGCGTATACAAAGACATTAGTCCATTTTAAAATCTCGCGTAATTTCCATGAAACAGGTATTTGGAAACTACAAGGAAGTTTTAAATCTATTTATAAACAAAATTGTTACTCAACTTACTGGACCAGTACAGTACAGTAAAAAAATATTGGGATGCTTGTATTTCAATAATTAAAACGCGTTTGAATAATTGGATATGGTGAAGTTAGGTGTTAAGACACATACCACTGTCTGACACCACGCTGTGGATCTGAATGTGACTGTGACACAGTCTCCGATGTCGTTTACTGTGCTTCTGAGTAAAACGTGACAGTCCTGCCATTTTACATGTTTACATCGATTGAGTGACGTCATATGGCGCCAAGTATAAATTTATCAAATTATGAGAATTTCGTACACAGATAGAGATGAAACATTTACTTATGTAAAAGAATTACGTTTTATATGTTCATATTTATAAAATATCCTAATCCACATATTTCAGATACCAAAAAATCATAGATGGTAGCTGAAATTATCTGATTACTCAATGCACAAAAATACGAAACTAATTTTATGTCGGTAGAGACGCATTGCTGACTCTGTGTTCGTTCCTTGTCGGTGTTTGCATTTGTGAATGTGAGGTCTAGGGAGAGTTCGAAGGAATGGGAGAGCTTATTCATAATTTCATTTGAAGGAAAAGCAACAACAAAAAGGTATTTTTTTATTTATGTTTTGCACGACTTAGCAAGGAAAGTTCTTTGTATTATGCTTTTTCCCCCTTCGATTCTGAAATAACAAATCCTAAACATTGATACATTTTTAGTTCAGATTATTTTCAACAGGTTGCTATCGCAGCCTTATTCTGTTTACACGACGTTTCGAATATTTTGTAGTTAGATTGTTGGTGAGTCATCGTCTTAATTCACAATTTAATAGTTCTTACACAGGTAACATTTATTAAAAATATTACAGCTTTACTGCAGGAATAAATTAATGATCTCGATGAGGTCACTTGGAATAATTGGGGGAATAATTGCAGTTTTTTTTTACAAGAAACCTGTGTACTGTCAGTACACCAACCAAACAGAAAACTGACCATCAACAAAATAAGATTATACATGCCTACACATTGATAAGCTATCGATGTTAACTTTGTATTCTAAAATCCAGTGAAAATAATATTCACCTATAAGCTAAGATTCAAGCTTTTAACATATATATATATACATGATACTTTAAATTCTCATTGGAGATATCTCTATGCCCTTCTATATATGTCATGATGTGCAGAAGATAAGGTCTTGGTGGTGGAAACGGTGAGTATATACATATAAAGAACGTATAAACACATACTAAATACTTTGTGTAAAATTGTTGAATACTTTTAATTTAATTTAAGCTGCCATAAACAGTCCGAAATAACTGACATCTCGTTCCTTATTTGTTTTTATGTGAAATTAAAGATTGAAAAAGTTAGGTCCAACACACAGTGCAGTTCTAAAACACATTCTGTAATGGATATCAGATGTTGTCTTAAATACCAAATACCTTAAAAAGATCTAAAGCCAAATAACCCTTTTACTTAGTGGACTGCACATCCCTGGTAAAAGTACTATATATTTTTTTTAACAAGAGCTTGTGATTTATATACTATCTGTGTATTAAAATTATTCAAGGGTATAAATCCATTCATATTTTCCTTGTCCTTGTATTACACGTTTTCAGCTTCTTGTCCTGAGTCCTGAGATTATACAGGTCAAATGTTACATTAGATGTAATTGATCTTTGACCAGCTTTTGATTACTCTCTAACAACATTTCAAACAGTTCCAAAGTACATGTAAAGGTTTATAAATTATAATAAACGTACAGGCATTCTGCAGTTGTTCCTTGAACACAGCTGATTAGAGTCTGGAAGGATTATTATTGTAATGGTATTATATTTTAAATCTCTGCCATTATTTGGTTAAATGCAAAACATGGCATATCTTATTTAAACGTTTAAATGCATTTAGTAGATCACCAAGAGTAATTGTTTAATAGTGGACTCAGCTAGATCTTTTGTCCAGCTGGTTGGGCCAGCCAGGGACCCCTGCAGTGAACAGATTTAAAGTTGTGGAAATCTGGACATGAGATATTTGAACTTGATATGGTTCAGCAAACTTCTTAATATTTATAATAAAGTTAATTAATTGACCTACTATTCACTAATGGTGCTTGCAAATGTACAAAACTAGCTGGTGTCACCATCAGTCAGCACCTGGGCAGTTATATATACAAATGTAGGTAGATATAAAACTAATTACTATATGACATAACAGCATGGTGACTTGGTGTACTCAGTGAGAGGACAGAGGTATTTTGACTATTTTGAAATTTCTCTTTCAAGAGAAAACCAGTGGGATGTGATGCATTTATATTAAATATAATAAAGTTGAAAAAAAATCCCAGCAGCAATGGACATTTCTAAATTTCTGACAGTTTCAAAGATTTGTACTGGAATAGTTGTAGAAAATAATTACCAGGTAGTATTGAACAGTAGATTTTTTGTCCTAATTTGGATTTTAATTCATATAAAGCAAAGGATTAAAAAAACAATTACAGTGGTTCCAGTACAGAATTAATCAGCACATTTTGACAACTAATGCATATTTGTTTAAGGCAGGAATAGTAGATAGCCCTTACTGTGAACTGTGTAAACTAGAAATAGAGACAATAGAGCATGTATTATGGGAATGTGACAAAGTACAAAATCTTTTACAAAATTTTGAGTTCTTATTAGATGCATTGATTATTCCATTTGATTATAATAAACAAACATTTCTTTTTGGTTTTTATAACTATAATGGACTTAATAAAAGTGACAATAGTATTATTTTAATAATAAAACAGTATATATATATATATATATATAAGGCAAGATGTCTTAAAGTGCCTTTATCTATACAAGGAATTAAAAGTTAAATTAAAGAACATTACAGTATTCAAAAATATATTGCAAATAATAAAGTCAAAATATATCTCATTAACTTCCAGAATGAGTGGGAAAAATGGAAAAGGCTTATTGATATTTCCTAGACATACATTTTGCCGATTGTTTATATGTGTGATCTAATTTTAATTTATTTGAAAAAAAAAGAGACAAAATTTAATTAACATTCAATGTATTATCTTAATTACTTAGCTACTGACACCTATATATTACCAGACTTCTATCCTTTAAATTGGTTTGTTTAATACTGGTACTTTTCCTCTTGTCTGTCTATCTTTCCGTCTGTCTTAATTTCTTTCTGTCCATTTACCTATCTTTATTTCCTCTATTTCTTTGTTTTCTTGTTACTCTTTTCTGATTTTCCTTCCTTTCTAATATAACATTACAATAAAATAAAATACCACTTACAAAAAGAGCAATATTAATTAGTATGAAAGTATGTGTGAAAGTGGAATTCATTATGTATAATGAAATGTATATGTTACTGTAATGTGAAAAATACTTTGAAAGTAAACAAATAAAAAAAAAATGCTTTTGGGACCATTTTTTAAGTTATTCAAAGGTTAACATTGTATTATTACTATACACAAGTAAACAAACAGGTCATTTTCAAAATTAAACCATACTTTATAATACAAAAGCCTGCTAGATTTTTGGTATATGTTGTACAAAGCATTGTTCAACTCTGTATATGAATCATCCATTCATTTTGAATTTGATTTAAAAAAAAAAAAGTCATCAAGTATTTCCTGGAAAATATATATAAATTACTGCATTGTTTTAAAATATCTGAAATCAATATTATACCAGTATGCAAGACCTACCTGCCATATCGTTTTCTAGCTAAATATGAATACTCAATTCCTGCAGGCTGAAGTCAAGAAGAGGACTATATTATATACAGGTCTTATAGCTAGGTAACAATACTGGGAGAACCCAGTCACTCCACCGCCACCACCTGGTTCAAGACTACTCGGTAGACACTCCCTAATGTTTAGTGCTATATATAGAATGAAATGCCCACATACACATACCGGGTACTATTGGATGGAAATACCTTGGAACTTTATCAATACAAAGTCATTATAGTGTAGTACATCAGAACATAACATTTATGTCCTTACTAAATACTAGTAAACACAATTATTTGTCCTTGGTTTCAGTTATCAGGGTTATATTGGGATCAAAGACAATAAATAAGCACCATTAGTTATATAAATAATTAAGAAACATTTGCCTACATGTTGAATATGTTAAAATTAATCTTAATGTAGACATGAACACTGATCATTTTGATAGAGTAAAATACTAGTGTGGTTAATTGCTGTTATAATTACCTGATCAGAACACATAACTAACTGTGGGGGCATGTACAGGTCATGATCATGATATCAAGGACATGTACTAGTGTAAAACAGGATGTATACCTGTAAGTTAGGATCATGTGCTAATTTTGGTGCTGATCTCTGGAAAGTAAACCTCTGAGATCAGATGTTGGTGCTAATCTCTGGATAGTAATTATTAATGTATGCAGTCTGATCAAGTACTAGTATTGGTGCTGACCTCTGGACAGTGAACCTGTAGGGTCTGATCCAGTACTAGTGTTGGTGCTGACATCTGGACAGTAAACCTGTAGGGTTTGATCCAGTACTAGTGTTGGTGCTGACCTCTGGACAGTAAACCTGTAGGGTCTGATCTAGTACTAGTGTTGGTGCTGACCTCTGGACAGTAAACCTGTAGGGTTTGATCCAGTACTAGTGTTGGTGCTGACCTCTGGACAGTAAACCTGTAGGGTTTGATCCAGTACTAGTGTTGGTGCTGACCTCTGGACAGTAAACCTGTAGGGTTTGATCCAGTACTAGTGTTGGTGCTGACCTCTGGACAGTAAACCTGTAGGGTTTGATCCAGTACTAGTGTTGGTGCTGACCTCTGGACAGTAAACCTGTAGGGTTTGATCCAGTACTAGTGTTGGTGCTGACCTCTGGACAGTAAACCTGTAGGGTTTGATCCAGTACTAGTGTTGGTGCTGACCTCTGGACAGTAAACCTGTAGGGTTTGATCCAGTACTAGTGTTGGTGCTGACCTCTGGACAGTAAACCTGTAGGGTTTGATCCAGTACTAGTGTTGGTGCTGACCTCTGGACAGTAAACCTGTAGGGTTTGATCCAGTACTAGTGTTGGTGCTGACCTCTGGACAGTAAACCTGTAGGGTTCGATCCAGTACTAGTGTTGGTGCTGACCTCTGGACAGTAAACCTGTAGGGTTTGATCCAGTACTAGTGTTGGTGCTGACCTCTGGACAGTAAACCTGTAGGGTTTGATCCAGTACTAGTGTTGGTGCTGACCTCTGGACAGTAAACCTGTAGGGTTTGATCCAGTACTAGTGTTGGTGCTGACCTCTGGACAGTAAACCTGTAGGGTTTGATCCAGTACTAGTGTTGGTGCTGACCTCTGGACAGTAAACCTGTAGGGTTTGATCCAGTACTAGTGTTGGTGCTGACCTCTGGACAGTAAACCTGTAGGGTTTGATCCAGTACTAGTGTTGGTGCTGACCTCTGGACAGTAAACCTGTAGGGTTTGATCCAGTACTAGTGTTGGTGCTGACCTCTGGACAGTAAACCTGTAGGGTTTGATCCAGTACTAGTGTTGGTGCTGACCTCTGGACAGTAAACCTGTAGGGTTTGATCCAGTACTAGTGTTGGTGCTGACCTCTGGACAGTAAAC